ACATTCAGCAATAAATTCTTCAAATATATTTAAATCATCTTTTGAAGGTTTTTCACCTTCAATTAAATGTTTAAAGGCTTCATCGAATTTTGTTGATGTTATATTTTTTTCACCTGTCCCTTCAGGCAATTGATCATAATTTGGCCATTGCTCAATACATGGTTGACATTGACATTCAAAATGATATTGTTCATTAAGTTTTTTTTGTCGTTCATCTTTATTCATTGTTGCTGATAAACAACCATAATTATCTAATAATTCAATATTATTTGATGATATGGAACTAAGAAGACGAACAATTACAGTTTCACCAATAAAATTTCGTATAACATTTGGATTACATGAATGATTAAATAAACTTAATGTTGCATAGATACCTGCACCGATTTCAATACAAGATGATGAAAGTGGTGATAAACGATGATAAATAAATTCTGATATTTCATGTGCATTACATGGTAATGATTGTAGATGAGATAAAATTAATGAACAAATATATATTTGATAATCTAAATTTTCATATGCTTCTCCAGAAAATGATGTATTATTAATAAGAGATAAACCAATAACACATGCTTGAATTGATCGTTGAAATAAATCATCAACAGTACGTTTATGTGAATTTGTTTCTAATTTTAAAATATTTTCATAATTATTCCATTGATAAATATTTTTATTAGAATTTTCTATTTCAAATTCTGTTTTATTTTGTTTAAGATAATTTTCAAATTCTAATTTATTTTTATATAAATATTGCCATCCTGTTTTAGTTATTAAACGTAATGCTAATAATTGCATTTTATCAAGACGATCGATTGAAAGTCGACATTCAAATGCATGCCAAGCTATAGATTGTTGAAGACAATCTAATGAACAATAAACTGCTCGTGTACATTGAGAACAAACAAATAAAATAAGATGAAGTCGACGTAAACACATATGACAATGAGTAAACCATGCTGATGGCAGTAAAACAGATGCATATGCTTGTTCAATTAGAATAATTGTACCAGGTTTTAATAATGATGATGATGATGATGCATTAGCCGATACGACATGTCGACCACGATCTAATGAAGTATGAATATCAGCATATGTTGTTAAACTTGGATAATTAATATTAAATGTTTGATTAGATTTTAATTGTTCAAATTCATTTTCTAATTGATTATTTTCATTATTATTTGTATCGATTTCTTCAGATTTATTTTTCAAACATTGTTGTAAACGTTGTTCAAGACGTTCTCGACGTATATCATCTTCTTCGTTTAAGGATAAAAGATTAAGTGCACGATGTACATCTTGTGATGCTAAATGATAATGTTTAAGATTAAATAATGCTGCTGATCGATTTCCATAAGCAAGTGAAAGTTCACGAGAATAGGATGGAGCATAACGAATTGCTTGATTATAAAATGTTAATGCAAGATGATCATTACGAGATGCATATGCTTCGTTGCCTTTTTCACGATATTCACTGGATGTTTTTGTACATTTTAAATATGTTGTTTGTTCGTCTAATAATGATGATGGTTTTTGTAGAAGTGAAACAAATTCAGAACATGATAGAAGATGTGTTATACGAGAAAAATCGTTTGTACATGAAGCAAATCCTTCTCGATCGATTATATTCGATGCAAGATTGGCCAACGACTGCATGTTTCTTCGTTATTTTTTGTTGCTACTGAAGAATAATCAAAGAGGTCAGACAATGTTAAACAAAGATATTTGTCGTTCTTTTTTCTTTTTTTTCCTTCTTTTTATCGTTCTTACTTATAGCTTAGTTACAGTACAGTATATGACATTTGCCTTCATCCATAAACATTTATTCAAAAAATGATATATATATTCATATAGATATATATGGATGAAATAATATATTCATTGTTCAAATATACATTTTGCATGAATATCTTCTTTGAAACAATGATGATAGGTGAATATAGTAGATGGATATGCATCATCAAATGACTGAAATATTAAATGTGCACGATGAGTTTGAAAATTCAAAGATTGTTCAAGGCTGTGAAATGTATCTTTGACCTTTTTTCTTAGGGCTCATTTTTAATAAATATAAGTTTTGAGGATTATGATCATAGAATTGTAGACTATGATTTCCATATTTTATACAGAAATTTCAAATTTATAGTATTCCTAATAGTATTTTTTTTGAATTCTAAATTAACAAGTTATACTCCATGAAAGTTTTCTTTGACTCGTTATATTTTGATGGTATATTTGAATAAAAAAAGAAGTTACTTATTAAAATATTTTCTATATTCTAGACGAACATATATGCTTAGAATTTTGAATATGACATCTCTAAAGCACAATGAAAAATTGTTGTGATTTTATTATAAATCTATTACATAAAAGTTTTAACTAATTTTCTTTGTTATTATTAGACGAACATTTGAGCTATAAGATATCATTTTCTATAAAATAGTTTCGATTCTCAAAATAAGTAAACAATATGAAACGACAGAGGTCACTTAAACATATAATAATTAAGACCAATAAAAATATTTTTTAGATTATATTATTTATTTAATTGATTTATTTGAATATTCTATAATCTTTCTATTTCGATCAATGGATCTATTTACATACATATAAATATTTATATGTCGAATATGATTAGTTCCTTGTTTTTAACCATTGTTTAGCACGTTTACATCTGTTCTGTTCTGGGTGGTGTATAAAATAAATATGGCTGCGACTAGTGCCACTGCTCTACGTCAAGCTGGCGCTTATTATGGTCGAAGTTTATCTCGTCGTGCTGTATTAACAGTGCCGTCGAGTGATTGGAAAAAATTAACAAAACTTCCAACATTTACAAATACAGATTGTGTTGTACTTGATTTAGAAGATGGAGTTGCCGAAACAGCCAAACAAATAGCACGTGAAAATATCTTTCGTTATTTAAATGAATCAGCATCTAAAATAAATCGAGAAATATGTGTTCGTATTAATTCTATGTCATCTAATCATATTAATGATGATGTTAAACTTCTAAAAGATTTATCAACATCAATTGATTGTTTATTTGTACCCAAAGTCGAATCCGTAGATGAAATGAAATGGCTTGCTGATCATCTTGGTGTGCGTATATATATTATATTTTAGAATTTCATTTGAATATCTTGCAGAAGAAAAAAACGAAAATTTTAATCATTAATTATTAGTATCTCATTGCACGTCTGCATCAGATTTAGAAATCTTAAATTCGATATTATCGTCATTTTAATAGGAATAATCTAATAATTCGAGAATACAGGTATACGATTAATTTCCCTAGAAAATATATTAAGGTAAGGGGGATCCTGTTACAAATTATGTCACAGGTACCTTGGGGTAATTTATAGACTTTTAGTATTTGACTACAAAATGCTTCTTAGTGTTCAATATATTTATTTGTTGAAAACTTTTTCTTTTCAATAGAATGCTATAAAAACTAGACAGGTACTTGGTAAGCACGTAAGTAATGAGATAATTCTTAGTAGGATACCAAAAAAAAAATCCTGTTACATATTGGTAACAAGGTACCGTACTGTTAACTGATATCTATTGCATTCTATTGAAGTGAAAATTTAATTATCTATTCTATTGAATTCCCACCACTCATTATTAGAATCTTAGAATGAAATGTTTTGAAGAGAATAGGACGGAGAAAACGTCTTTAAAAAAATCCTATAAATTAGAATTTAAAGAAAACAAATGATTCGATGGTAATATTTTTTTTTATCCTATTTCATTTCATTCCGAATGCGCATAGAATAACTTGATTATCTACCCAATTTCTATTAAAATAAAATCGATTTTTGATAATTAAATACTGCTTAAAATTTCGTGATTTTTATCAAAAGTGTTTGTGATAATTTTTTTGCAAATTTACCTTCTTTGTTATTATCTTTCGTTAAAATTACACGACTGATCATATTTTAGATTCGAATAAATACTTTTTGTTTTCTAATCTAAATTTCTTGGTTTATTTAGACGAATCGTCAATATAATCTAGTATTATATTGTGAAAGTGCACGAAGTTTAGTTGATCTTCGTTCAATTCTTACAAGTGCTTCAAGTTTATTTTCATTACAAGGTGTTGTTTTTGGTTCCGATGATTTTTCAGCTGATGTCGGTATAAATGGTCGTTATTCACTTGATGCCGTTGAATTAACTTATGCAAGACAAAAATTAGTAACAATATGTCGTTTATTTGAAAATGCTCAACCAATTGATATGGTTTATATTAATTTTAAAGATTTAGATGGATTAAAAAAACAATCTGAACAAGGTGCTGCTTGGGGTTTTACTGGTAAACAAGTTATTCATCCTCAACAAGTACCAATTGTTCAAGCAGCATTTTCACCATCAGAATCAAGTATAATATGGGCTAAAGAATTAATACAAGCATTTGAAAAACATGAAAAAGAAGAAGGCAAAGGAGCATTTACATTTCGTGGTCAAACAATGGTCGATAAACCATTACTTCGACGAGCTCGACATATTTTAAATATGACTCGATGAATCATTTATTAAATAGAATAGTTTATTTTTAGTTAATGTTATTTTTCTTCTTTTTTTTGTTACCTATATGTTTTTTAAATTGATTTACGATGATGAGGCATTCTGACATTCGTGGACTCATAATAGCATGATTTTTCGAATTACATAGACTTTAATATATTTATATATATTAGAATATAGTAGTGACGCATTTATGACACAAGCAGAAAGAAATAGAACACTACGACAATACTGATAATATATTACTCTGTTTGCTCGAGTTTTTGTCGGCATGATTAATACCAAACAAAGAAAAGGCAAAAAAAATGTACTTTGATCTATGGCAATAGCAACATACTTTGTGTTTGCGTTCGTACGAATCGCACGAAGACAGTCAAATGAAATACACATATATTTAAAAGGCAAAATATTCGTATTCACTGTGAAATTTTACTTCTTAGTCAGAAGTTTATAAGCAATTTTTCATTTTCTAGATGGAGGAAGTAGCACCATCCAGAGTACGCTTATTATTATGTGTACTATGTGCTTATATAATGATGACTTTAACAGCAGTGGTAGGTATTACTGGTCACTTTTTCTACTGGCTTATATTTGATCTATGTGGCTTTGGTAATCGACAAACAAATCGAAAACTTCATGTAACAACAAATCAAAAAGAAGATGAATATTATGCTCTTATTATTGGTAGTGGATTTTCAGGTTTAGGTATGGCTATTAAATTAAAAGAATTAGGTACTGAAAATTTTATTGTTATTGAACGTCATGGACATGTTGGTGGTACATGGTATGCTAATAAATATCCAGGATGTGCATGTGATGTTCCATCTAATCTTTATTCATTTTCATTTGAACCTAATCCAAATTGGTCTTATTTTTTTGGTCGACAATCTGAAATAGGTGATTATCTTGAACATTGTACCGATAAATATGATATTCGTCAACATATTAAATTTCATACAACAGTTACAAAACTAAAATGGATTGATGATAAACAAGTATGGCAAATAACAATAGAATCAAATCATCAAGAAAAACAAGTTTATGCTCGATTTGTAATAGCTGGTTATGGACCATTATCAAATGCATCTTATCCAACTGATATTCCTGGTATTGATAAATTTCAAGGTCAAATGTGTCATACAGCTGAATGGGATAAAACAATAGATTTTATAAATAAACGTGTAGCAGTTATTGGAACTGGTGCTAGTGCTATTCAAACAGTACCAGAAGTACAAAAAGCTGGTGTTACACAATTACTTGTTTTTCAACGTACACCACCATGGATTATTCCACGAGCTGATCGAATTGTTACTAAAATTGAAAAACAACTTTTTGCACGATTTCCGATTATTCAAAAATTTATTCGTTCTTTAGTTTATTGGGTACGTGAATCAACTGTACTCTCATTTACTTATCGTCTACCTGTTCGATTTATTAATGAAGAACTCGTTAAATTTAATCTACGACGACAAGTGAAAGATAAAGATTTAAGAAAAAAATTAACCCCAGCATATGATTTAGGTTGTAAACGTGTTCTATTATCGAATGATTGGTATTCATCAATACAACAACCGAATGTAAAAGTAGTTACAGATCGTATTCAAGAAATTAAATCAAATTCAATAGTAACTCGTGATGGTGATGAATATCCAGTCGATATTATTATTTGGTCAACTGGATTTCAAGTACAAAAATTCCCATTAGCTATCTATGGAATTAATGGTCGAGCATTAGATGAACAATGGTCAGAAACTATGCAAGTAAGTATTTCGTTTTTCTCGAAGATTCTTATATAAATCTATTTTAATCCCATTAAGGCATACCGTGGTGTAACTGTACCAAATTTTCCGAATCTATTCTTTCTTCTTGGTCCAAATACTGGTCTTGGCCATAATTCAATTATTGTAATGATCGAAGCACAAATAAATTATACCGCGGAAGCTCTTTTATATATGGACGAGAAAAATGTTCGAGTACTTGATGTTAAACAAAGTGCACATGATAATTTTAATCATAAATTACAAACAAAATTAAAGAAAACAGTATGGCAAAGTGGTGGTTGTCATTCATGGTATCAAGATGCGAAAGGCAACAATACAACTATTTGGCCTGATTTTACATGGGTTTATATATTACTTATGAAAAGTTTTGATTCGAAAAACTATATTTTTAATTAATAACCATTTGTTTGTCTTAGTTAAATAGACATATCTAACATTTACTTTCTTATAAATAAAGTTTATTATGATACTTTTTATACTACTTGTTGGAAAAGGTTTTAATAAAACCCTTCTGTTATCATAATATTATGATAAAATTTCTTTTTATTGATGGATCGGAACATCAAAGTATTTAGGAATGATTGCTTTCCAAATATCTTTTTTTTGTTTTTTTTCTTAATAGAATTTTATTCTTTGTTTTTTTAAGTAAACCTTTTTCATATTTATCTATGGCATTCGATACTGAATGTAATAAATACTTGTTATTTGATATCACAATTAAAAAGTTCTTTATAATCATCATCAACTGTTTAGAAATCAGATACTTTCTCATGAATGTTGGATATAAACTCATCAGTATTTAAGTAAAATATTATTAGATTTAAATTAAACACTTTCCAACGTATACAAAAATTAGTGCAATTGAAACAAGTGAAGAATATTCCATTGTTTTTATTTCAGATTAAGTTTTAAAGAAGAATGTGCTTCCAAAACAAAACTGAAATTGTAGTATGAATCTTGATATACTTCTAGTTACATGCATATTGCTATAAAGTTGAAAACCTGGTAGATGAAAACAACCTACAAATAAAAAAATAAAGATAAGTATTTTTACACGTGTTCGTACTTTTACCTTTGACAAACATTCGTACGACTGGAACACAACATTATATAATCGGGTAAATATTAATACTCAACTTTGAATACAACTACTGCGTTTTACTTCATCGTCCATCTCGCGCGCAGTCGGACAATAGATAAAAGTTGCTTCATATTCATCATGGAAGGCACCATATGGAGTACATTTTGGATATTATTATTACTTTCGGTGACATATATTGTCATGACTTTCACAGTAATCATGGGTTTTATTGGTCACTTTCTCTATTGGCTTGTATTTGATCTATGTGGCTTTGGTAAACAGCGAGCAAATCGAAAACTTCATGTAAAACCAAGCCAAAAAGAAGATGAATATTATGCTCTTATTATTGGTAGTGGATTTTCAGGTTTAGGTATGGCTATTAAACTAAAAGAATTAGGTACTGAAAATTTTATTGTTATTGAACGTCATGGACATGTTGGTGGTACATGGTATGCTAATAAATATCCAGGATGTGCATGTGATGTTCCATCTAATCTTTATTCATTTTCATTTGAACCTAATCCAAATTGGTCTTATTTTTTTGGTCGACAATCTGAAATAGGTGATTATCTTGAACATTGTACCGATAAATATGATATTCGTCAACATATTAAATTTCATACAACAGTTACAAAACTAAAATGGATTGATGATAAACAAGTATGGCAAATAACAATAGAATCAAATCATCAAGAAAAACAAGTTTATGCTCGATTTGTAATAGCTGGTTATGGACCATTATCAAATGCATCTTATCCAACTGATATTCCTGGTATTGATAAATTTCAAGGTCAAATGTGTCATACAGCTGAATGGGATAAAACAATAGATTTTATAAATAAACGTGTAGCAGTTATTGGAACTGGTGCTAGTGCTATTCAAACAGTACCAGAAGTACAAAAAGCTGGTGTTACACAATTACTTGTTTTTCAACGTACACCACCATGGATTATTCCACGAGCTGATCGAATTGTTACTAAAATTGAAAAACAACTTTTTGCACGATTTCCGATTATTCAAAAATTTATTCGTTCTTTAGTTTATTGGGTACGTGAATCAACTGTACTCTCATTTACTTATCGTCTACCTGTTCGATTTATTAATGAAGAACTCGTTAAATTTAATCTACGACGACAAGTGAAAGATAAAGATTTAAGAAAAAAATTAACCCCAGCATATGATTTAGGTTGTAAACGTGTTCTATTATCGAATGATTGGTATTCATCAATACAACAACCGAATGTAAAAGTAGTTACAGATCGTATTCAAGAAATTAAATCAAATTCAATAGTAACTCGTGATGGTGATGAATATCCAGTCGATATTATTATTTGGTCAACTGGATTTCAAGTACAAAACTTTTCATTACCTGTCTATGGAACCAATAATTGTTCATTAAAAGAAAAATGGTCAGAAACATTCCAGGTATATGTTCCTCAGAAATATATCTCTCTCTATATATATTAGAGTTCGTTTCGTTTTGCTTAGGCATTTCGTGGTGTGACTGTACCAAGTTTTCCAAATCTATTCTTTCTTCTTGGTCCAAATACTGGTCTTGGCCATAATTCAATTCTTGTAATGATCGAAGCACAAATAAATTATACTGCCGAAGCTCTTTTATATATGGACGAGAATAATATTCAAATGCTCGATGTTAAACAAAAAGTACACGATGAATATAATCAAAACATACAATCAAAATTAAAGAAAACAGTATGGCAAAGTGGTGGTTGTTATTCATGGTATCAAGATGCGAAAGGAAATAATACAGCAATATGGCCTGGTTTTACATGGACATATATATTGTTCATGAAACATTTTGACCCTAAGAATTATATTTTTCAATGATCATATCAATATTTTCTAAGCTTCTTAATGAATAAAATAATTTTGATTTATTTTCACCTTTCCTCTTATTTGACATAATTAATGTTCGAATGTATGTCAGTATTTGTCAATAAAATTTTTCTTATCAAATAAATTCATGCTTTATTTACGAGAGAAGATCCTCGACTGATCGAAGACGTTTTCTATAGTATTTTGTTTCATATGTCGGAAGCATTTCTCCAGAAAAAGTCCTTTGAGGATTTAGGTTGATGAGACTTCTTATGAAAGTTATGATCATTTTACTAGTTTTTTTGACCTTAATCAAGATGTTTACGGAAATGATGAAAGGTCGAATTTCACTCATCTCTAGTTCTCGTGATCATTAGAACATTCTAAAAATGTCATTGAAGAAAAATTTTTTCTTCTCAAAATATTGAGTTCCTTAACAATTCAATCTCAAAAAAAGGAAATATGTTTCTTTTATTACAACGAAACGTTTAAGTATAATATATGGATGAAATTTTATACTGAATTTCTGCTTTTCAATATTTCCGTAAATAACCTTGCTCAAGATTGGAAAATCAGTAAAATGATCATAACTTTCGAAAGAAGCCTCATCAATTCCAATCTTCTTGGGATTTTCCTTAGACTACTGTCTAACACATATAGATGAAAGTCTATTAGAAATGATTTGGATCAGTTGGAGACATTTCCTCGTTAGAAGGAATTGCGAAACTGCACAAATAAAAAATCTACCTAAATACTATCATGATAACAAATATAACAGTTTAGATATCCACAGAGGTTCTAATTAGAAATCATTTTTTTTGTCAACTTTCTCTATGTTGTTGATAGTTTCAGTCATCACTTTTACTAAATAACGTTAAAGTTACATGTTAAAATTGAACAAAAGAAAAAAACAAAATTCCAGTTAAATCTTTGGTTACTATTTCATCAAAATTCAGAATACTACATATTAAGATATTTCTATTAAATGTTTATATGATTCTGTAAGAAGAAATTCGACCCTATACAAGTAGAAATATAATTATCATACAATTAATGCTTAAAATGCATAATTCATCTCGAGAAGAAAAAAATAGAGTGATGACGTTGATGGTAAAATATCAAGAAAACAAATATCTGACAACCTGATGAAAGAGAAGACAAGTATGCCTTAGAGATCAGTAAACAACTAATAGATAGACGTATGGTACTGTAATAGTATACTATGTCAATCAAAATTATTTAGTAGTTATCTGAGATTTACTATGAAAATATTTCATATTCTATTTATCTTCATGTTATCTTTCGTTTTAGATAAGTCTTAATTTTATCTCAATTACAAATCGTTTTTTGTTTTTGCGTCTTTAAACTAATCTTCAAAATTTACATTCGATTTAAAATACATGATATATCTTTAAAATAAAATATATCATAACAAAATCAATTTTCTTGTTAATTATTTGTGTTTGTTTTTTTTTCCTTTTAGAAGATAAGAAAAACAAAAAAGAAAAGGTCAGATGAAAACAACCGACATATGTCCACAACAAACAAATTATTTTGTCAAGACAAACATGTTTAAGTACTTTGCTCCACGATACAAAGTATATGTCAAATATATGTGTTTATAATCCAATGTGATAGAATTCATATTGAAAATCAACTTAATTGTATATCAAAATTTTTAGATATAAGCACTCGACCGAAAGTTTCAAGACAAAGTATTCGAGTATTTTCTTTTTGTGTATTTAAATATGTTGGCCATGTATTAGAATCAGAATTTTAATTATGATCTTTCAGAATATATGCTTAGAATTTTTCTGTGACTCTTAATGATGGCAAGTCTGTTTACTGTTGACATTAAATAAGTTATGGATAACATCTAGTACTTGAGAGTGATCTCTACTCTACAGAATGATGCAACAATGAAGGAGCTTTAATCAATCCCGCTAAAGAAAAATAGAAGTATGGCGAAGGATCATTTTGTACTGAAAAGACAAAAATTGAAAAAGTACTCATTTTTCTTGGGACAGATTTTATAAAATTCTTTACTGCACCTCAACAGTTTGAAAAGAAGTTTTATTTGAAGTTTTTTTTTTTTGTTCATAAAAGAAGCTTTTCAGTCTTATCAAGATTGGCTTATATTTCAATAGTCAAAAATCACAAAAAAAAAATCTTAGCATACATTCTGAAAAAACACACGCTGCTGATTTCAATACACTATTAAATATATGAAAAATAGTCAAATATTTCCTCTAGAAAATTTCGACCCAACTCTCAGATATATACAAAAGCATTCATGCATGATCACTTTCAATTACATATGATAAATTGAATTAAGAGTTTCAATAAAAATTGAAGAGGACAGTTTGGAAAAGAGTGCCTGTCAATTATTGTATTCTAACATAAGAGCTTAATATGAAAAAAAAAACAAAGCATTATGATCAGATTCCATGCTTGATATACATATACTGATGATAACAAGTCTTAATATGCCAAGTAATAGTAATAAATCATTGGCTTTTGTTTTTCTTTTTATGCATAAAAATAATAATTAAAATCTATCATTATTTTTATTTTTATTTTTCGTATAAACAACAATAAAGGTTAAAACAAAATGATACACAATCAAATGTTGAAAGCTTCTTTTTTTTTCCTATATATCAAATGTAGTTCTTGATGTTCGTTTGAGAAGACGTTTTCTAGCCAGATGTGTTTGAAGAGCACTCATTGGGGCACCTAATTGTTGACGATTAGATTTAAGTCGAGGCCATGAACAAGTTCGTCGAATTGGTAAATTAGGTGTAAATGATGGTGGAATAAAATTATTGCTTACTATACTTGGTCTCATATCATTAATCAACGATTGTGTATGTTCAAGTAAAAATGATGGATGTTGACGATTGGATTTAAAAAGTCGTCGTATGAAACGACGTATTAGATTACGTCGTCTTCGATAAGGTGTAGGATTCGTTTCTGATTGTTGATTTATATTTTTTCGAAAAAGTTGTTGTTGTTGTCGATATTGAATAAGACGCCATTGACGATAAGCATCAGTAATCCATAATTCTGTTGCTTCCTGATTATTACGTGGTTCTATTTTTGGTAATTCAAGATAAAGAGTTTGACCACCACGATTACGTTCAAGTTCTTTTGCTTCAAGCAAATCGACTTGTTTAAGCCAATAATCTAAATCAAATTTAGTTGCTGACAAACGTGGATTACCGACTCCAGCTGATGAAGAACGACATAAACGAGCACGAGCTTTCCAAAGTAAATATAATATAACAAGCAACAACATACCTAGAAGAATTTTCAATATAACAATTTTTGATAAGTATACATATATATATGTATAAGAAGATTAGAAAAAATTTAAGAACAATGTATTTATTTTTCTATAATGTTAAATAATTAGCTCAATAATCGCACATTTTGATTTTAGTAGTTAATGGAGTTTTCTATATAATATATTCTATAATAAGATTTCTTAAAAATTGAACATGGTAGTTTTAAATCGAAGCAATTTTTAACAATGCTGTTTTACAGAGAATAAAATAACGAGTTAGTACATTTTTCAAAAATTTTTGCTTAAAAACTAAAAAGCATCAAAAATACTATAAAAAATCGTTTTTTTTAGTACTTTTTTTTGATAAACTTCCTGTTTTTACGGTACTTTTAACTAATTAAAGGAACATTATAGGAAATTTGACCACACCTTATTTTATGCTCTTTAAAATGACATTGTTAACAAACAGCTCCGATGAAAATTATCGTGTCAAATGTTTTAGAAATCTTGCTATAGAATGTATTATATATAGAATGTCATTAGCTATAAAAATCAATTTTTGTGAATATTGAGCTAATTGATTAATGTTATAGAAAGAAAGAAATACATTGTGGTTAAACTTTGTCTCGTAACCTTTATATAATTAGTTGATTTGACTGTAATATCGACCTTGAAATCAAATACTTTGATCTGATCATAATGTTGATAAATTATAATATTATTAATGAGTTTCTTTCTTTTTTTTCTGTTGTTGTTGTTGTTGTTATGGTATTTATCGAAGTCTGAATGCATCTGTTTGTTTTTTCATGTGCAAAGTTTTTCTACTTATAGTAATTAATCATGACTTCAATGTCTTTCTTCCATCATATAAAACTCGTTATCAACAGTCAACACTCTCCTCCCTTTTCTATTCAAATCTAATACGTTTCTCTTTTCTTATCATTAATTTCTTTCATCATTCATTGTCGAAACGCTATATTGATTATTTTCTTGGCCTTTTAGAATTTCTTAACTATTTTTATTCATTGTTATGTTTTGTTTTTGTTCTTCTTTTGTTACAAATCTCAAGCGGTTTTTCTTTTTTGCTTTTACTTTGTAATATTATATTTATATATCAACTGTATTCGAGCTTTAGAAATATTATATTTTTCTTTAACATAAGTGGTACTTATCATGAAACTAAAGTCTATGTACTTAGATCAATTTATTAATCACAGTACATAAATCAAGAAGTTATCTAAGACAAAAAAAAGATAAAGAATCATGAAAAACTATCAAATTAACATTTTTATTATTTATCAATATATTTTAAATTAACTATAATTGAATATATTTTTATAATATTTAGTTCAATATTTATTGAACTAATTATATTAGTTGTAGTATTTTAGATTAATTGGTTTATATTAAGAATGTTATTTTTTCTTTATATGTGTCTTACTGATATGTAATAAATAAATAAATAAATAAATATCATTATTGTAGAATAAAACTTATATGGAAACGATAAATTAAATTTGATTTATTAATAATTTTTTTCAGAAAGAAAAACAAAAAAAAAAAACAATTAGTTTTTGTTTTAAAAGAAAATAACAGAACTTATTTTTAAATAAAAAACCATGATTATTTGTTGGTCTAGAAAATATTTTTCTTTATTTACCGGAAATCACTTATCAGAATTTATTCTTCATACTATTTTTACTTCATCGTTAATCTGAAGGATTTTGTTTCCATATATAAAAGACAAGATTTTTTTTCTCAGCGATTTGTAAATTGTTAGATTTCATATTAGTTTGCATGAAAATCATGTATGCATCGATGAATCCATGGAATAGTTTAGTAGAAAATAGTAATGATAAAATGGGTGTCATTTTTTTTCCTTTCTCTCTCATATTTTTTTTTCCTATAATATAAATTACATACCGCCGAGAAGAGCTGCTGTCTTGATTCCTGTTTTAGCCGAATAGGGATCCTCGAATAAAATTTGTTGCTGCTGGTTTGATGAAATGGAAGAAGAAAAAGAAGAGTTTATGTTTGTAGTGTGCACTGAGAAAAGTGTAGCAGTCGTAATGGTAGTAATAGTAGTGGTCGTTGGGCGTTTTCGCTTTGTCTGTCGTTGTTTTTGTTTATCGTTGATTAACTGACGATAAACAGATGAAGTTGTTACAATATTTTGTGATGATAGAGTTGGTGAATTGATTACATGATTGAGAAGGGGCATTGTCGGCGGCGGTGCTCTTCATTGCTATATCTACTAATGTTTGTCTAAATTGCCGCTGCTGCCACTCACTTTCATCGTCTTTCAGTACACGCATCGAGTAATGGGTATGTTTGCAATAGTCATATGCTAAAAAAATCTGAAAACAAAACAATGGAGAAAGAATAAAAAAAAAGAGAGAAAGGAAAAAAAAGAATGAAAGAAAGAAAGAAAGATACTTTCATTTCATTAGTTCGAGTGAGAGAAAGGAAATGAGGAAAGTCAAACTCGATTTATATTATTGATGATGACTATAAAATAACGATGATGTTAGTAAAATGTTTCAAGCAACGACCATACAAACATAGTGAACTAATATGATCGATGAAAAACAACAGTAGAAAAAAGCTCTAGGTGCATAACACTATTTATGTTCTCTCATTTTTCTTTCTCACTCTCTGTTTCTAGTTCTCTCTTTGTGTCTCTCTCTCTCTCTCTGTGTCTCTCTGTCTCTCTCCTCCCTCTTTTATTGTATTTGATCTACCTTGCGGTAGAAACATTACTTATATACATGAGCACCAATGCTTCAAGGTCTCATTTACTTGTTTCACTTAGAACAATTTTTTTCTTCTTTTGTATTCTGTCATAAGTAATTAGGGTGTCAAACAATGTAGTCATAGTATTTCTGAAAAAAATAATGAGATCATGTACATATTTATTTTCAATCTTCATATATGTTATGTTGTTTTCCTGTTACCTAGAGAAAAAAATGTATTAACATGAATTGTACTTAAATATATAATTTTCTTTTTCTTTTCTGTGTCGTATTTCAATCTAATCTTTTCAATTGAATATTATAAAAAGTAGCTATATGTGTTAAGATTAAATCTACGATACGATTATCTGAATGATGAAAAAAAGAAACATTAAATAGTGACAATGGCAATATTAATAATAAAAGCGGCAAAAAAAAGTCAAACCATCTGTCTGTTGGTGTATCTTAGATACAAACACTACTAATGTTAGAAAAGGAAAGTGATTCTTTGTTTCATTTGCCTTTTACTATACAGAATAATATTACGAAGGACAGACGAGCCAGAAGGTGTCAGTCGTTATGCTGTCGATGCCAGAAAAGCAAACTAAAATTCGCACATACACACATACAAGTCATCACTGATGGCGTTGTTGCCGTCGTCTGTCTTCTTTCTTCCTTTTTCATCCATCTCGGATCACAGAAAAACGATGAGAAGCGAAAATGATCGTTCTTGTTCTGTTCTTTCTTTTCTGTTCTTTGTCAAGTTAGAATGACGTCGAGTGTTGTATATATGTAGCTCGATGAAAAGAGATCTCCTGGCAATTAGATGCGTGAGCATGTGTGTTTCCTTCTTCACTTTGTGTATCAGTCTTCATGCACAGTGTGCATTCAATTCTTTGAGTCGACAAAGCAAAAAAAGAATGAGAAAAGATGCAAAAGAGCAACCGACACAGGAATGACAAACGGGTGCTAATCATGTTGCACTAGCATTCATAGACGTATACACATGAAGCCGGAAAAACACAATTGACAAGCGAATGGAACTTCCGTTGAGTTGTCACCAGACTTATGTTCTTACAAAAGATGTCAATGCAAACAAACATATCGGAACAAATATTGTTGTTTATTTTAAAATACTTCAATCTAATATTTGTTTGATTACAATCAATTTTAATCGACAGATACAAATATTTATACTTAGTTAATTATATTTAGGATTCTATTTTAAGAATAAAAACTTTCTTTTTGACATACTTTTAACGAAAGAAACCTATTAAAAAATCATGAATCTATATATGAGTGTATATCATGTTGTATAAATAATTTTGTGAAGACGTTAATTGCTCTACAGGTATATTTTCTTGGCTTCTTTTTAATAAAAAATTGATGACTCATAGTGATCGACCTTCCTACGTATCATGATAAAATTTGAAAAAAGTACAAATAGTCATATTAAGGGCCAACTAAACGGATATATAAACAAGCTGTCAACTTCATAAGAAAAATTAGTAATAGAACAATGTCTCCTAAACATTATGGTCTCAAAGCTACTTATAGTTATCAAAATGCAGGATTTCAATCGAATACAAATGATAAGAAACCCCAATATCGAAGAACAGTTTCTTATGATGGTTACTATACATTGGAACAAGAACAAAACCCAATACCATCATCATCATCATCATCATCATCAATTGCTCATGTTTCAATACCAATACCAGAATTACAAGTACCTATCATTGATAGCAATATCAAAAATGGACGACAACGAGTTCGTTGGAATTTAATTTTTAATGTACTTGTTTGGATTATTTGTCCATTACCTCTTTGGCTTCCATTTCTTTCGAATCAAGTAGCCATTTTTCTCTTACCTTCTATTCAATTAGTTTTTGTATTTATTTGGTTGATTATTGCTTTATTTGCAGCACGAAATGCATTTATTATTTTTTGGTTAGTTGATAATATTTTTTTTTTGCTTCTACTAGTTTTCTATTATCTTTCACTTTCTTATATAGCAATAGAAATCAAGATTATTCTATCTTGTTGTCAACTCAAGATAAAAACAAGATTCGACATCTGGTTGCAATTAGTTGTTACAAAGAACCACTAGAATTAATCAAACGAAGTATTGATACTCTTGCAGCACAATCTGAAGTTAATTGTATTTCAATGATTATTTCTTTTGAAGAACGTACACCAGATGTACATACTAAATGTCAAACATTACAAAATTATTATTCTCAAGCTGGATTTCGAGATCTTATTTTTACTATTCATCCATATGGACTTTCAAATGAAATTCCAGGCAAATGTTCAAATGCAAATTATGCTTTACGTACAGCAATTAAACAACTAAAATTAGATGATAATGAAAATAATGATCATATATTAATAACAACATGTGATGCTGATTCACAATTTCATCATCATTATATTGCTGCATTAACTTATCAATATATCAAAGATAATTATCCAGCATTAACAACAATTTATCAACCACCACTTTTTTATAATTGGAATTTAGATGCATCATCATTTTTTACTCGAGTGACAGGTCTACTTCGAAGTACATTAATGTTAGGAGCATTAATACCATTTTCAATAAATACAATGAGTATATTTTCATTTTCATTATCATTAGCTAAAGCTGGTAATTTTGTTCATCCAGCTTATCAAATGGATGACATAATATGTCTTATTCGATGGATGGGTGTAACAAGTCGTCGTCTTTCAATTCATATGGTTTTAACACCTGTTATAAGTGGACCAACATGTGGTCGAACAATTGAATATGAATTTATGGAATGGGCAAGACAAGCAAGACGATGGACTATTGGAGCAGCTGAAGTTTTTCATTATTTTATGGTTAAATCTCGACGTATTCCATTTTTAACTTCATTGTCATGGTCAACAACATTTCTTATCTATTATGGTATATTACTTTGCTCAAGTGGTCTTTATAGCTTAACATATTTTATTGCTATACAATTTCTTCTTAATGATATTCCAATCTATGTTTCTTATGCCATATATATATTAATTTCAATTCAAATGTTATCATTTTCAATTGCTTTTATTATTGATATATTTATTCCTCGTCTATTGAATATAAATCAGTGTATATTTTTTTTACGAAATTGTTTTCATTTTTTAATGACACCTTTTGTACTTATTGGTTATTCTTTAGTTGAATTTTATGCTTTACATGAAGTTATGATACGAGGAAAAAAAGTTTGTAAACATGGAGCTTCAAATAAGAATACACTTAATTAAATAATAAAATTATTTTGTTGCATATTCTTCATATTCTACTTGATAACCAAGTAATTGACCAATTAAAGAACCAATTTTAATTATTATTTTTACGATAGATAATGTTAAAAATATAGGATAGGTTCCAATATTATCAACAAATACGAATACTTGCCAAATAGTCATAGATTTATCACGAAAAACCCCAACAATATTTTCAAATGATTCGGCTCGTAGACCACGATCTTTATATGTTGGTTCAACACGAACAATTATAATAAGATCTTTTTTATTATCATTCATCCAAAATGTATGAGGAACATTTGGAGGAATAACAATAGGTGATGGACATGTATGAATATCACATGAGTATATTTTATCACCAAATTGATAAGCAAAATGGCCTTGAAGAATAGTAAACTTTTCTATTTGATGAGGATGTACATGAAAAAATGGTGTACATGGTCGTTTCTTAGGTGGAGTTTGAAGATTTCCACAAATTCCTCGACTATATACAGTATGTTTAAATTCTAGATACGCATTTTTATTTTGTTCATCTCGATTATAAAATTGATAACCATCAGTAATATTTTCATATGAAGATGTTATGTTAGATGAGCTTTTCGTGCGAGTTCGAGGTAACTAAATAGCTTTTTTTAATTAACAAAAAGTCGCATATGATGATTAATTTCAATAAGTCTTACATTTGAAATCCTATTACGATAGTATTCAATTCATATAGATAAACATAATAGAAGTATCCATTTAAACCACCAATACATGTTTATAACATGGAAAATATTGTTTGGTGGTGAAACGGTTGAGAATTAAAAATGGGGTAAACATGCAAAAATAGTTCATGCATCGTTACAAATCAGCACGATATATAGTTCGTAAGAACAAAAAAAAATGTTTTGCATTTTATCTTATGAAAGAACGAAAAAAAAACATGCAAAAGAAATGGAATCATGGGATTTTTGTCAATGATGTTTATTGGTGTTTGTACATGCCAGTAAACGTAAGAATTGTATTTTTTTTTTGTTACTATGCATAAATTTAACGAGCAAACTATTATGTAAATATATTCTAAAGAAAAAAAGAAGTATTTGGTTCATTCAATAAATAAGATAATTTTAAAAATTTATTTTACAGATAATAAATGTGTAATTGGTTTCAGTAAATCAATTGTAATAAAAAAACAATCGTTCGATTATTGTTTATGCATTTATTTAAAATGATCTATTTTTCCTGTACTTTCAATTTTATCATTTCTTATGATCTTCATTCGATTGTCTGATGTAGATTGCGTTTTCAATTGTGTTTGTCACTGAGATAATTGATATTAAATGGAAGACTTGATAGAAAAGATAAAGAAAATTATTGATGTAATATTCTCTTGCAAATCATTGTACAATAAAAAAAAAAAGAATATTCGCTACAACATAAAATCTGAAATTTCTATAAACTGTTATATAATAAGTTTTTTAATTAATAAATTAAACTATAGATATGCATTTTTGGTGGTGTTCGTTTATTTGTTGGTGTTGTAACTGTATAAACTAATTCACCACTTAATGTCACATCTATATTTTGTATACCATTTGCTTCTGATAAACAATGAAGTATTTGTGCTGGTTGTAAACTAATATCAACAATACATATTTCATGCATATTTGTTGTTGACGACTGTGGAACATAAACAATAACAATTAAATTTGGTTGTTTTGGTACTAATAAAACACGTTCAATACGTGATGATAATAGTTTGTCAAAATGTTTTACAAAGTCTAGTGGTATTATGATATTTTGATTATTCGTAAAAAGTAATAAACGATCTGATGTTGTCGTATTAACATCATGTATAGCAACACGATCTTGTTCATCGCATGATATTCCAATAGGATCAATTAAAATATTTGATATTGGTTTTGTAAAATCTAATTGATCTAAAACATTAACTTGTTTTATTTTATGATTTATATTAAATTGATAACAATGTCGTTTTGTACGACTACATGTCCATATTTGATTTTTTTTATGATAATCACAACGAATTATCATAATTGGATCATATGGGAAATATAAACGTAAAAGTAATGCTCCATGATGTGTATGTAATGTTAATATTTGTGTATCAATTTCGAATGCAATTAAATAATTTTGTGTTGCTGTAAATGATGATATTAAACGTATATTCGATAAATGAAAACGTTCTCTTAATAAGGGTTGTCGATGAAGATCACGTGAATATGAAAATATACGTACTTCACCTTCAATATCACATAAAAATATTCGTTGTTCTATTGTTGATATAACCCATTTTGCAGATATATCTAAATCAACTGTATAAAGCTTATAAACATACAGATTATGTCTTGAATAATATTGATCAATAAAAGATTCCGGTGATGTTAATGCTGTTTCTTCACGATTAGTATTTTTAACACGTATTGTACCAAGTGTTTTACCCATCGCGTGACCATGTGAAGGCATGAAATGAAACTATTTCATTAATTAATATGAAAAGTCATGTGTACAGGGTTTATCAAAAGTCCGTCGAGAAAAAGAATGTGAAAGACTTTTCATAATTTAAACCACATACATAATTCTAAAACAAGACATTTCAAACAACTAGAACACTTCCTCTAGTAACATGAAATGTTTGAAATATGATACATAATTATTTTAAAAATCAAGGGTATAGAATTGCGAATATGGCTAAAAAAAAGCTGTTAGTGCAATCTCTACAGGCTTAAAATGCCAAATACAATCTAGCTGTTGTTGCTAATCAGAAGAGATTACTTTATCTATTTTTGGAATACACTTTTTCACCATTTTTTTATTTAATCCACCCAGATATGCAATAAGAAAGTAGTTCATATATTAGAACGACACGTTATTGATATGCACTCTGTGATCTTATGTCTACATTCGCCAAAGTCTGTGTGGAAGGATTCAAATTTTTACACGTATACTTCAATGCTCCTTTTAGACTATGTTTCGCAAAATGCATTTATCAGTTAGATAAATCTTATTATCATCTTTCTCTGAGTAAGAAATAGTCAGAAATCTTTTTATTAATGATTGTATTTTTTTTGTTTGCTTTCTCGTACAATTCATCATTTCTGATTGAGACTAAAAAATATACAAAAATCTACAGATTAAATTATTCAATTTAATGAACTTTTCAATGGAATAGTAATTGTATCAGTGATTATGAAATTTCTGATTGATGTCGCATACATGATTCATATGACTGAATACGCCTTCTACAAATGTTTACGAATAGATAATTGAATAGATGTTTGTGCTTCAATTGATCACTATCATACAATTTGTATGTAGCCTCAGGAAATTTTTTCTTGATTTGCATGATTGTTTATATGTTTAAAAAAAATGAATGCTCGTAGAAACCTGAAAAAGATCGTCAAAAATTGATCGAGAACTAAATGTGCTTTTTAGCATGAGATTGAAAAATTAGAAAAAAACGAAATTAGCTCAAATTGAAAAATTCATTAATTTTTAACTAGAAGATAATTTAAGTTGAGTCCAGCAAAAAAAATTCTAACTGAGATGGGTATTTAATCTGAATTATATTGTATAAAACTTAGAAGAACATTGAACGAAATTATGGAAAACTCATATAAATCTCTGGAACTCTTCAAAAGTTATTCACGTTTATTTTTTATCTCGACGAACTTTTGAAAAACACTATATATTTATATTTACTTGTTTAAGTTGTTGTGATATTTTATTGAGTACACGTTCAATATCATTAACCATAGCATTCATTTCATGTACTTCATAATCATTTGAATATCTTGGTGAACTATATAATTTAATTTAAAATACAAAAAACAAACAAACAGTAAAAGAGAAAGTGAAATAATTAATATTTACTTTAATGGTAAATGAAATGATTGAGCTGTACATAAACTTTTACGTATACCATCAAGCTCATGTGTTGATCTATAGAATGATTTTAAAACTAAATTGTTGTTATTTTAAGAAGATGAAAATTTACTCTTTGATATTTTTGTTAACATGATGAAGACTTTGTAAAAGTTGATCACGCTGTTCTCGATATTCATTTGTTATTCTTATATAAGCTCGTTCAACATCATGAACAGCTATTTTAGCAACTGATGATGAACGAGATAATTCTTCATGCACAGCATCTAGTTTTTTTAAAATTATAGAAAAATATTCAATTTATATTCATAAATCATAATTTTGCGTTTGAAAATTTTACAGTTATTTCTAACTTTTTTAATCATTTTATGCAAAAAAATTGCTCTCAATAGAATTGGTATGTTATTATTATGCAAAAGTTTATTAAATTGAAATTTCAATTTGTTCTTTTACTTGAGGCTATTTTATTTTACTAAAGACTATTTAGATGCTAAAATCAAAATATTTTCGACTTTTGGTATAGATTAGAAGTGTCGTCTGTGAAATGCCATATAAATGAGGACTCTTCATTGTTAATTAGTACTTTTATTAAGTCTAACTCTCGATATTTCTAGTGGAAAAACTCGCGCTGTGCTTATTGTTTGTACATAAAATTCTTCTAATGATAATGATTATTTCTCAATCCAAAGATACTGAGAGCATGGGTGGTCATGAACCTCTAAGATCGTCAGTTTTTGATCACTTTAGTTGGAGACAAAAAGTTCTGATACATACAGGAGAGTTTGTTTTGCTTTTTTTTGTCAAAATCAGGTGTTGAACAAAACAAAACAAAGTTTTCCCTTCTTTCCTTCTCACATAGTGCGTTCACTTGGACTCACATTTTTTATGAGCACTTTGGTAATGTTCGAATGCGTATTACTTTTCTTTTCTTTAAAATGTTGCTCCTAGGAAAATTGACAGTCTGTAAAAAAAATGTTTTTTTACGGTGCTTCCAGTATTTTGCTTCTCTTGAGCTATAGGAACAATATTTTTGGAAGAAAAAAAGCCACCCACCTCAATTTGATGCTAGTTGTCATGAAAAAATGAAGTGTAGAGTTTTGCGGGACAGACATCTGACCGTTTGTAACCTTTGGGGCTACAATCCTCTTGAAAGAAGCATTTGAGAATTTTGAGTCTATGATAACTTTTACTCAGAAGATCCCCCTTAAATGAGAATTGACGAGCTTTCAAAGCAGTTGAAATAAGTAGAACAAATTAAATATAAAAATTTTAGAATTTTATATATTTCTAAAAGGTTTTAAATATTCTAATAACAAAATTCTTTCAATTGAAAACGACATTTTTTTTTCATATTAAAATCTTATTTCTTAATAGTTTTCTTCTAATAATTATTTTGATCACTCACTGGTTCGCTGCTGAAGCGCACGTATTCGAGCTTGCACTTGCCGACGTTCATGTATACTTGAGGATAAACTTGTATTATTACTTCTTCGTGATGTTGCCATATCTCTGTTTTGTTTTATTATTTGCAATTGTTCTCTTCTACGTCAGTTAAGTATTAACATATACATATGCATATACGTTTAATATGTAGTTTTTTTTAATCAGCAGTCGAACGTTAGAAGCGACCATTGAAAGGGTATGTAGAAGCTGACAAACATAACATTCGTATTTCTATAAGTGATTTAATCATTCTTCCGTCAAAAAAAAAAACAATGAAAGAGAAAAAAAAGAGAGAAAATAAAACTTCAACTGAAGGTTCGTTTTTTTTTTATTGTCAATATTAAAATATCGTATAAAGGAGTTAACTTTCAGTCTGTTTGGTAGATATCGTATTTCTTCATGCAGTAGTTTCCCTTGCCATGGTACTTGGCAATGCTGTTACAATTGTCGATGTGGTGGGTATTGACACTCTTGTAGTAATTGTCGCCGTGGTAGAGACTATAGAAATATTTTTAAAAAAACTCAAACGATATTATGAATTATGAAGATTTTACTTGATGGGCAAGATTTGCCCGGATAATAGCTCAAGTCAGTGCAAAAACAAGCAAAATATATTCTGCTGTCATTGTTAGCAGTAAATGAAGTTGATGATAATTCTGCACATAAACTATTTGGATCATCACCACATATATTTTTACGGTCGCATATACCTAAACATATATATCTCCTAAGAAATCGATTTAAATAAATCCATAGAAATCGTACGACAAGGCTTATCAAGTGTATAACGTTGATCAGGACAAGTACAAGCAACATGTCCATTAAATAAACGAAAACATCCATAACCACTTGTTACATTATGATATCCGTCCAATTCACATATACTACAATCTATCGCAAAAAAAGAGAAGAAATACAAGAAATCATTGTTTATTCATATACGAATTTATATAAAATATACCTAAAACAGCATTAGTACTTGAAAATGATGTATAGATTGCAGCGACAACAAAAAGAAAGACGAGCATGTTGTTTCTGTTCGTATTTTAGTTAAAATGAATATGATTTATTTGAGACTATCACGCTGGTCTTTAAAAATATAACATTTGGTTAGATTCACACAAGATTAAAGATATGTTATTTCTAGGAATGATTCACCGATGAATCGTCGATTTATTTCAAGAATACTCTCCCATCCTCAAGTCACATCATACAATATCTAAAACAGACCACATATATTGAATTCTACTATTTATATTTAAACGACTTAAGTAGAGCATCAAATTTTCTTCATTCTAAAAACTTTATAAAAATGAAAATCTTTTACAAGTATATAATTAGTTTGGTTTTGATTTATTAACGGCTTGCGTCTATTGCAAACGAATATATGAAAATTGTAGCAAGTGATAATACTCTCATACGAAAAAATAGGACTATGAAAATTCCATTAAAACATATTCTTTAAAGAAAATATTTCAATACAATTCGATCAAATTTAAATAGATTTAATATCTTCCATAATAACCAATATTCCTAGTGACACTCTCGATTTTCCTTCATTTCTACGCATTTTCGATGATTCTTATTGATTCTCAATGAACAGATAAAGACTGATTTTCACCGATAGAAATCAGTATGTTCCTTCTTGATTATGTTTAATTGTGTATAATTGACNCTCATCTTAGAACTCGACCGAGACATTGTTAAGACTGAACTGTGTAGAAAATTTCATCGCGATTGAACTCTCCTTTCAAAAGTTATCGTGTAAACGGCCAGCCGGCCGGCCGGACATAATGACCGATTCTAGAGTGTACTCACTTTTTGAGTATACAAAAACTCAAAATGTCTAGCATATCTTTAAAAAATGTATGTTTTTTTTTTAATAAAGCTATGAAAAATCAGCAGAAAAATATTTTTTTGAAACAAAAAATAAATACACATCTCAAACAATGTCTCGTATATGTGAACAAAATTTCAGTTTGATCGGATGTACTAGACCGGAGATAGGGGATGAGTACCATTAAGTCGATTTTTTTTTTATATTGATACTTACTTCAACTTTTTTTATTTCACAACGAATTGGAATAGTAAACATGCCTGTTTGAGCTAGAAATTTTATTTCACCTCGAAGATTTTCATTGATCTATATATGAATATATAAAATAGAAATTATAAAGAATAAAATAAGAAGAATATTATCTACTTTTGGTTCGAATATCACATAAAGATAGCAAGACATTCCAGCAGATATCATACCCGGTGGTTCAAATCTATTATTAATAAAATTATTTAGATTCGAAAAAAGATATATATATATATTTAATAGGAAAAACAAAATATATATATATATACTTAAGTGTAATAAAATCTTTTAATGATTCCGATAAATCGACTAGTTTAAGTGTATTAATTGTTAATGTTACATTAGTTAATGTAACTCGTGTTCGATAAACTTTCTCAACATCAAAATCCTATTGAAATAAGATTTTTCTTTTTTGTTGAAAAATTTTCATAAATAAAATTTTAAAAACAAACTTTAAAAATAATTTCTGATGGATCACTTTTAAATGGTACAGGTCCTTCGAAGCGTTTAGTACCAACAACTTGTTCACGAACAATATTTTCTTTTAATTTCGTTAATGTTCGTTGTAAAATATCCTTTTAAAAAACAAAAAAAAAAAAAAAATTTTTTTTTATTAAAATTATATTTTTATCCTTCATTTTATAATATTACTTTATCCATTTTTGTTTTCCAATGTTTTGATCGATTAAAAAGTGGATCAATATCTTGTTTAACTGGTTGTTTATCCCATAGACCATCGAATTCAGGCTTAGCCAAATCAATATCCATTTCTAAAGTTTACATTTCTTTTTTTATATAACATTTTCACTTAAGAAAAAATATTATCTAATAGACTATTCTAGGAAAATCTTATAAAATATGATCAATACTTTAGTATTGCTTGTAATTTACTATTAATCATAGATCAATGATTATTTAATTCCCTATCTTCCGGCATTAATTTCGTGGAATTGGTATTGAGTCAACCTTATGCAAGCGCTGTTTATGAAACTGCTAGGGTTGAGTTTAGACGAAATTATTTCAGTCTTTTATTTCGAGGATAGTGTCTTCATTTTATTTTTGTAATATAAAATTATCTTGTTTTGATTTCAAATCGAAATCATTCATTCCTATTGTTAAACGCTCGTTCAGATGAAAGATCATAACAAAAAAAAAACTACTGGTTTCTATCTTTTATCGATAAGAAATATTTTTAAAACGGCTGTGAAATACTTTTTGACTAGTTATTTAAGTTTTTAGTATAAAGATCGTAATATTTATGAGTTTATATCGAAAATCTAATAATTCTAGAAAAATTATTTTTCATGTTACTCATTATTTTTGAATCAAAAGTGACTTAAATTATCACAGAAAATGTTATTTTCATGCTCATAATCCAGAAATTCTTCAAAAAAGAACTACTCTACTAATAGATTATGTCCGTAGTAGTTATATACATATATATCAACTCGATAAACATCAGAATAATCAGTCTGTGTAACTAAATACAAAGAAGATTGTTTACATTTTTTGAGAAGAAAACACAGTTTTTCAACTCATAAAGCTTAGCCGACGAGTGATAACAATAAGTTTTAGTTTTTTTACAACATCTTCTAGGATTTATTTTTTCAGAACCTTCCTATAAATCCCGTTATACATTCTTTATCAAACGAAAGAGATTAGACTGACGATGAGGTTTTATCCATGACTACTACACGTAAAATACCAAAAAAACGAACTCGAGCTAATAAAAATCGATTCGATTTGGTCTTTGATTCTTGTCTGGTACAATTAAAGAGTATTATACACTTTTAATAGATAAATCTTCTAGATTAAATGAATCTTGGAAATCTCTCAACAAAGATTGATCCTTTTCCTTGTATAACTAATTAATTTATAAACTTTTTTGAAATTTTCTATTTTAATATTTTACCTTCATCTAATTCATCTTGTTGATATGTTGATGTCATTGATGATGCATATTCAATTGGATCAATATCTAATTGTGATTGTGGAGCAATTTGTAGTGGTGGTTGTACAAGATCATCAATTTGTTCAGTTTGCGACATAAAATATAGAAAATTAAGATAACAAATAAAATATTTTTTGTTTTTATTATTTAATATTAATTAACCTACTGATTAATTTCAGGTACTTCTTGTTGTTGTTGTTTTATTGTTGAAGGTACAATATTTAATGATTTATTTGTTGTTACTGTTTTATATAATTCTGGATAAAGTTTACGTTTTCTTTCTTTTTCATTTTCTTCTTTAAGAATTTTATCAACAATAACTAAACGATTTAAATCTTGTTGTTCAGAAAAACGTTTTTGCATTTGTTCTAATTTTTCATTTTTTTGTTTACGTAACATATAAAATAAACCATTTTGTCCTTCATTATCAATTGATTGTTGTTCACGTTTTTGTGCATCATATAAATCACGTTCTTGTGCTCGTTTTTGAGCTACTTGAATTGTTAATGTATCCTATATGAAATTTATTATTTTTTAATTAAATATTATTTTTTCATTTACTTTATTTCTTTCAATAGCATTACGTAAATTTAGTAAACTTTTAATTTTTCGTTCTGTTTCAGCACGACTTGCTTCTTCTTCATTACGTTTTTCAGTTCGAATTCTAAATACAAAAATATTATTAAAATAAAAATAAATAAAATAAAAATATTACTTTTCAAATGTTTGTTGTAAATATTTATGTGCAAGTTTTTTACTTCGACGAGCTTCATCAATAGCAGATCGTTGTGCAGCTGCTTGTTGTTCAAGAGCTTGTTTTTGTGTACTAAATTAAATAATAAAACATTTCTTAAGAATATAAAAATAATATTTGTTTTATTATTTTTCTATACTGTAATGCAGATAAATGTGCTCGTTTCATTTGAGCAACTTTCCAATCTTCTTGATGTTGACGTAATTGTGCTACTGTACGTTTTTGTTCAATTAAACGTGATTCTTTTTCTTTGAGTACATTTTCTTCACCATTATAATGTGCTCGTTGAATAATAGCTTTTGTACGATCCATTCTAAGAATTAAGAAACGATTAAATTACGTTGAAGATTTCCATTTTAATAAAACATACTCAGCAGCATCAAGTTTACTTTGAAATTCAACGAGAACATCATGTTCGAGAGCTAATTCACGTACGAGACGATTTAATTCACTATTAAGTCGATTAATGGTGGTACTAAAAGAAACAAATAAAATACCGAATTGAGCTTTTAAGAAATAAACAAATGGTAATCTCGTTCTCAATCGATTCATGTTGACCTAGACAATCTTATTTTTCTATACGGAATAAGAATATTTATAATACTACGAACATGTCTATTTCACTGGAAAATTTATACTAATTCTATTGAAAAGAATAAATTTTAAACAAAATCAATTCTTGACATCAGCTGATTTTGATTCGAAATTTAGTTCCGTTTAATTTTCATGCTTCTTTATCGAACAAAACCGAAAAAAAGAGAAGACTTCAATACATATATTGATCTTACTCAATTAGAATTTCGACACAGTTAATTCAAGTAATTCGCTATTGATTCGAGTCTCGAAAGAAAAATCTTGTCTTTGTTCTTGATATATAGATTCATAGTATATAGCATAATCTTGTAAAACTCTTTTTTTTTAAATATATTAAATTATATTTTATATCTTACATATTTTGTTGATCTTGTGCTTGATCAATATCTTTTTCTAATCGATTTTTATTTTGTTCCAATTTACCTATTTTATCTTTTGTTAAATAAACAGATTCTCTAAAGCGAGAACAAAAAAAAATAACTGTGATTGTATAAATTATATAATAAAAAGAAAATCTACCTAATTTGTTTGACAATATCATCTTTTTCTTGAATTTTACCATCAAGTCGATTAAGAAAAGCTCGTGCACGAATCATTTGACCTTCTTCTTTTGTAGAAATTTTTTGTTTTTCATTTGTTATCATTTGATTTGATAATATTTTTTCATCATTTTCTTCATCATCATTACCTATTAAACTAATATAATAATAAATAAAACAAAAAAATAAAAATAAAAATTTCTTTAAAATAAAATATTTTCTTTTAATACCTTGAATAAGTTGTTGAACGACTTGTTGAATTACTATCTTCACCTTTAGCACCACCAATTTCTTTTTCTTCTTCAATAACATAATCAATTAAATTCATTTCATCTGTATATGAAGCACGACTTTTATCTTGTTGTGCACTATTATTTTGAACAATTTGTTCTTCATCATCACTATCTTCATCTTCATCATAATCAAACATTTCAACTTGGGCATTATTTATATCATCAACATCTTCATCATCATCATCACCAGCATATTCATATTCATCATCATCAAATGGTACTTCATTTTCATCATTATCATTTAATAATGAAGTCATCTACAATATATACAAAAAGAAAAAACAAGAGAAAACAAACAAAATTTAAGAAAAAAATAAAATAAAAACAATTATTCAATGAATTTTTTTAATAGTTTTTAAATAAATAGGCATAGCTAGTTTTTGAAATTCATCTAACGTTATACGATTTTTCGATGTTGATGTTGAACGTGTTGGAGACCAAAGTTGTTCTAATGATTGTTTGATTTGATATGGACTTAATTTAACTACTGATTCATGAAGACTGGAATAGAAAAACAAATAGAATTCTATTGATAAAATAAACAAATGAATAAATATATTCAAATATAACTAAGGTTCTTTTCTCTAGTTGTATTTCATTTACATCAGGTATATACTAAGACTGACGAGTAGAGTCATTTTTGAGTCACAACTATGTATATCATATAGGCCATAATAAACTATGCATACTGTGAAAACTTTCCTGGCTAGTAGTTTACCACTGTTGAGATTTTATATTTCTACATTATTTTATAGCATAATACCGGAGCTATCTCAAAAAATACTGGAAAAACTGAATTTGTATTTTGAACTTTTCATAGACAAAAGCTTTGATGAAAATAATGTATTCTGAAAGTTTCCAATTTTTTTGATTGTTCCTATTTTGAAATAAAAACATCGATATCTGATGATGGATATGACCGGCAAAAACAACATGTACATTTATTTATTATAGCCATATCTTGTGATAGGAAAAGCTAAATGAGTGATAATCTACTAACTGTAACTTTCTTTAGGGCATTCATAGGTCATTGGAACCTACAGGATGCATATAATCTCGGTTGGATGAAAACGATCTGGCACTTATATAATTTTCCATTGTGAACATTATTCTTTAGCTGGAATAAAAATAATGATACTAGTCGATCTTATCAGTTTCAATCAAGAAATAAGAATATTGGAACTATGAACTTCTCTCTTGTATAAATAAAGTGTCGAAACTATTGAACTTTCGAAGTTAAGTTTATTTCTAATCTTGATTTTATGTTTTAGATTAATTCAATTAATATAAAATAAGAAATGTATTAGATGTTAATTAATTTTGAGTATATTTTGAAATTCATTTTCACATAGAGTTTATGTTTTTTGTCTAAAGATAAGTTCTAAGTTAGTATTTATGTTAATTTCAAAAAAAAACAAAAAAAAATTAAATGTTATATTATCAACTTTTATTTTTCTTTTTTGATAAAGAAATCACCTGAAAGCATCATGCGATGTTTTATTAATCATTCCAAGAGAATCTGTAAGTATTTGTAAAAGAATTTCGCATAATGATCGATCAATTTCTGAACTTGCACCAGCATGATTAGCCAATGAATTGTATAATGATCGAACCAATTTTTCAAATTCTAAATTATTAAATATATACATTCTCGATTAATCTTTTTTTTATATCTTGATGATAAAGACAATTGTCTATCATTCTGTCATATTAGTAAAGAAAAAGTAGACACGTCTTCATATTATTCTCGTTGACTCTATACAAATCTCGTAATATTGACACAAATTAGATAAAAAGACACGAACTGCCACGTATGAACGACAGAGATATACACTACAATTAACAATGTTATATTAGGAAAAGAAAACACAGAGAAAGACAATATCCATATTTATTCCCATATCCTTCTATATTCTCATCAAAGTAATGCTCTCTTTTTTTTTTCTTCTATTTACTTCGTTTATGCATCTATTCTGTATATGTCTGATGAGAAAGATAGATAGATATATATCTGCGGAAAAAAAGATTTTCATATAACGAGTATTCTATCTAAACAAAGAAGAAAAACCCGAGCTATAGCTGTGTTTTTCTAATTGTCTTTTTTTTGCGACAATTACTATTATCATTATTGCTGTCGAAAGATATATCTGTTATGCTCTTAACTAGTTCTCGATAGAATATCATTGATTATTGAATTTTAAATGCGATTAATAACAACATCAACAGATATGGATTCAAGAATTCTTAGTGTAATACATGAAGTTGATCATTTAGAAGAACAAGAAGAAGACGAAAAAGAACAAGAAGAAGAAGAAGAAGAAGAAGAAGAAATTAATAATGAATATAATTCACAAGAAATTTCATCATCATTAAAAACAAATCAATTAAATTCCGTATCTTTGTCTACATCATTATCAGATCCGCCTGATCGTGCATTAAATCAAAAATTTCATATTGCTGCTTTAACTGGTAGTTTAAATCTTTTACAAGAACTTTTAACAAAATATCATTTACCAATTGATTGTCGTGATAAAGAAAATTCAACAGCATTATTATTATCATGTGCACGTGGACATTATTCATGTGCTGATTATTTATTATCAAATGGTGCTGATTCAAATGCACGACGTATAACAGGTGCATCACCACTTTATTTTGCTGCATCATATCATCATACACGTATTGTTGATTTATTATTAAATAAATATAAAGCTATTGTTGATTTATCAACATTTGATGGTTCAACATCATTACATGTTGCATGTGAACGTGGTTTTACTGATATTGTACAATTATTAATTAATTCACAAGCAAATATAAATGCTAAAATGAATGATGGTACAACAGCAATTATGTTAGCATGTCAAAATGGACATTTATCACTTGTACAAATGCTGATGTCAACTGGAAAATGTAATGTATCAATGCAACGTTTAGATGGTGTTACACCATTATTTCTTATTGTTCAATATGGACAAGAAAAAATTTTTGATTATTTTATTGATAATATTAATAATATTGAAGATGCAATTGATTTAGCTCGTGAAGATGGTGCAACACCATTATTTAAAGCATGTCAAAAAGGTTATGATTCATTAGTTAATAAATTACTTAAATTTAAACCTAATGTTGGTTTACTTAAAAATGGAGAATCAGTTCGTATTAAGAAAAAAAAAATATATAAATAAATACATATGTATGATTTATTATATATATATTGTTTCTTTTTTTTTTGTTCTTATTCTAGTGTTTACATGCTGCTACAATGTTTAATCATGCTTCAATTGTTCGTACACTTCTTGATAATGGTGCTAATCCATTATTAAATAATTGGGAAGGTATGACAGCTGTTGATTTAGCTAAAGAAGCTCAACTTAAAGATATACTTGATATATTAATGAAAACATTAACAACTAAATTAAGTGAACATGGACGACAATATTTATTACATAAAAGTACACGACGAAGTGATGCTGATTTTAATTTAGAATTAATTGAAAATGAAGATGATGATGAATGGAGATTATATAAAAGTTTAAAATCAGCTGCTGAACTTGAACGTTTCGAAGAAGAAATTGAACAAATACCAATTCTACCTGATTTACCAACAAAAGGAAAACAAACAAATAAAATACGACAGATCTTAACCAATAAACCACATCGTTATCATTCAACACCAATATCATAATATACAATTTCTGACATTATTTTTCAACTGAATTAACCTTAAAATCCCTTATTAAATATTGCGTTCTTTTAGAATAGAAGCTATTTTTTCTTCATGCAATATTGTATTGTTTGCTTGTTTTTTTGTTTTTTTGTGTACTAACCTTTTGCAAGAAGAATAGCTTGAATACCATATTTAAATACATTAAAACTAACAGCATCATTTGGACGAAGACTAACTAATGAAAGTAATGTTGCTCGATGATCTTTACATGACGACCAGATTTGACTAGATAGAAAAAAAAAAAATATTCATTTTTTCATAAAACATAAATCATAATATCTTTACTTATTACAAAGATTTTCTAATAGTTTATTATATAAATCACCTTTAAGCAATAAGATATCATCATTTACTAAACAAGAAACGAAAACAGATCGTCTAATTAAATATTAATTTAAATATTTTAACTTACATATATTAAAATTTGAATAAAGTTCAACAAGTAAAGATTCAAATGATGGATGTTTAGGATCAGCAAGATGTAAACGAGTTAATGCTTTTTCATATGGTTTTGTTTGACATTGACTTTCAAAACTAGAAATTTTTTTTTTAATTTTCCATACCAAAAAAAAAAAAAAAACATAAGTTTTTTTTCTATACAACTTACTAACTATAAAGAAAATCAATTGGATCATCAGGTTTAATTCGAGTTACTTGAAGAAATGCGTCCGATATAATTTCTCGTGCCTTAATACGATCTTAAAAGAAAAAAAACGTTATTTCAAACTCTAAATTAATCATTTTAATATTTTTTTGATACCAAGATATACTTGATCAGATTCAACAGCACCACTAGCAGATGTCGATGGTGACGATGGTGATATTGTTGAATTTGTTAGTGTTGTTGAACTTAAATTTGATGGTGTTAATCGACCACCAGGCACACTTTTTGGTTGAAAACGTGTACTCATTAAGAAACAAATGATATATAGCTTTAAAAAAAAGAATATTGAAAATTACCATTAATGAATACTGATTACTAAGTAACGTCCTTTATAAAAAAAAATTTCTAATATACAAATGCATTTTGATAGCGAGGTTCGATCATATATATTTTCATCTTAGTTTTTATTCGATATTTCTTATTAACCAATCAAAATAGATACATATGTATATATGAAATAAGTCCATGTTTATTTATTCGTTTTCTTTTTTTTTGCATTAAAAAAAATTTTTCTACAATCTTTGAAAATCGAAAAATATTTTTTTCTTATTTTAAGATCATTTAGAAAAAGAAGAAAATCAATTTATAAAAAATGGTCCAACGATTAACTTATCGTCGTCGTTTATCATATAATACAAAATCAAATCGGGTTAAAATGTATGTTGTTTTATTTTTGCATTTATTTTAAATTAATCGAATTAATTTCTAGTGTGAAAACACCCGGTGGTAAATTAACATATCAATATGTTAAAAAACGAGGAACAGTCCCCAAATGTGGTGATTGTAAAGTTGAATTACCAGGAGTAAGTTTTTTTATTTTTTTGAGAAAGAATTTTTATTATTTATTTTATCATTTAGATAAAAGCATCTCGTCCAAAACAACGTATGACAATGACAAAACGATTAAAAACTGTTTCACGTACATATGGAGGTTCACGATGTGCTAAATGTGTTCGCCTTCGGTAGAGAAAAAAAAAAAAGAATTTGAAAGATTTTTATTTTCTAGAATTAAATTTTTTATGTTTTAGTATTGTTCGAGCTTTTCTTATTGAAGAACAACGTATTGTTGCTATGGTTATGAAATCGAAAAAAGTAACTGGTCCAACAGAAACGGCAGCAACAACAACACAACCAACAAGCCAAAAAACGAAATAAAACATAAGTTTTATTTTTTTGTTCATCTGGCAATTATTCAAATTATTTGTTTTGTGATGTTACATCTCTCCTATTTTTGAACATCATTTATTACCAACTTAATATTGGAGAGATATAAAGAGAAAAAAAAAAGAAAGAATAAAAAATAATAAAAACGAACATCAAATAATGAAGTTATTTTGAATTGCAATGATAATTGTATTATATAATCTTAGTTGGTTAATGAATTCTCTTTCGCAACGATGAACATCTACGTTTTTTTTTTTGAGAGCACAGACTTTTAGTTCGCAGTACAATAATCACAAACTTCATGAGGACCAATCTATTTTTGAAGAGACACTAGTATCACACCGGATGCAACACTATTAGATAGAATTGATAGGCAGTTTTTATTTAACTGTATATAAATTATTGGATATAGAAGAAAGAAAATGTATGTCGATTTGATAAAGAAATTGTAATAATTGTTTAAGATAATTCTATTTAATTTCTTCAGAGTCGATCATAAAAGTTTCTTTTTTTGAATTATCTAAATAATGCGTTAAAAATAGACATGAGTAAAACTAGTTTTGTTTTTGGTTCCAGCGGAACTGAGATTATCTTGCCCGTATTCATTTAGAACAAATAAGTCGTGACAATATGACATTCGACGCAAGTTTTATATGATCATAAAAGGTATCGTGCAAAATGAAAAGTGCCGGTCTCCATAGCTAATTGAATATTATTTATTCAATTTTTAGAAATACAAAAGTTTATTTCAGCGATCAAACGTTAGATAAATTCGATTGAAAACATTTAAATTTGAAGAACTACTATAAATAGCCTTATCAATCTTATCTACACAAATGAGATAATTAATTATTTATGTAATTATCCAGACATTCTCCATTGCTATTTCTAGGATAAAATAAAAATGTATATTTAAGATATAATAAAAAGATTTTCTACAGCAAACAGTAATAAAATCCTAAAAAACTAATTGAAATAATTATTTTATAATAATACTCGATAGAAACAAATAATAAATTACTTTTACTAATATAATATTACTATTCTAATATGTATATTGCATTATATAATTTGTATTCATTCAATTATTTCGAAAGAATAATACTTGGTGGTATAGTATGAACGAACTAAATAATTAGTCGCATTCTCATCACGAGTGTAAAACTTCCTGAAGAAAAGTTTCGGATAATGTTGTTATAGAATAAAAACAAAAGCTTTTTATAGTAAATCAAACGTGCATGAGTTTGTAATGAGTATTAAAGAAGCAAATGCTTGTTAGAGTGAAAGTACAAACCATCTTTTTGTTTTTCTCTCTCATTAACAGTGTTTATGATTTAATTCAGGTCACTCGGATAAAGTAGATTGACTAATCATAGTTACTGGCAGGGAGGTTCAAGAGATAACCTTCTTAATTTTGAAAAAATTTTCGTTTTTCTTAAACTTTCTTAATGTTTTTCCTCATTCAGGCCTAAAAAATACTCAAACTCTCCTTTCAAAAATTTTTCATTTTTGGCACAAACCTTCCAAGTCATCATTGTCTTTCCTTTTGTATTTATTTATTCACGTAATTTGAACATAATTCAACAGACAAAAAGTCAGATGACATGTTTTTCTCACATATGTCTTTTATCATCACATTCCAGAATTTCCGAGTCTATTTTGACGTGTAAAAGTTTTGTGTTACAAATCTTTAGAATTTTAACGAGCATAATCAAAAATTCACGATAAAAAAAAAAAGTATATTTTATATGAGCACGCTCGAATGAATAAAAATACGATGGCATTTGTTGTTTCTTTGTCAACTATTCAAACATTATAAACAGAATAAGAATACATTAATATAGTAATACACAATTACCATATTGATAGCTGTATTTGTTACATAGCACAAATGCTGTGATGTTTTCATACTCTATCATGCTTCATTGGATCGAACAGGGCAGGGTGATCGAAAAGCCGATACACTCTTTTGATTGTAGTTTTCAATCAAGTTCAAAAAACAATAAAGTTGAAAAGTACATCTTCATCAATATTTTCAAGTTGAAATTTTTGTTCTTTTTTTCAATAAGATTTGCTTTAAATTCTTCAGGTAGATTTAATGTGTATTATTAAAATTAGTAGCAGACAGTTACTAACAAGGGAACTACTTGAGATAAGATCTCGATCATTATGTAGGATCTGTTAAGACTAGAAGACATTTAGAAGGATTCTTTTCTACATGCTAACCTTTTGGAGTTATGGCCGTTACACTAAATGTTTTCCCTTTGGCATAGTATTTATAAAAAAAATTCGAACAAACGAATTGTGGCCTAAAACGTTTGCTCATAGACAGCTCTCGAAGTCAATAGAGTCTTCTAAAAATTTCAGCAAAAAAGATTGGTGTCTTCTTGAGACATCAAATCTACGAAAAGAAACATAATATTTCACCCAAAGGACGAAAAATCTATTTTTTTTTTGTGAATTTGATACCTCGAAAAAAAACCACCCTTTTTTTGACTGAAATTTTTAGAAGATTCAATTGATTTGAGGAGCTATCTATAAACAGAGTTTTAAGCCATAACTCGTTTATTCAAACTTTCTATGTATAGTGTGCCAAAGGTAAAAAATCCAGTGTAATGGTCATAACTTCAAAAGAGCAGCGCACGAGAAAGAATTCTTCTAGTTCTCACAGGTCCTATGTAATGACTAGGATCTCGTATCAAACATGAGGTATTACCTCGGGTCATTCTTTTGTCAGGGTCATCATCAGAACCAATTAATATAGACGTCATCAGTTAATCTTTTGCATTGATGTGATATAACAATGACATTGAAAAATACAAATAGATAACCATCTTATTTATTTTTATAAAATATTGCTCTTTTTGAAGATGAAAACTTAAAAATTTAATTTTCAAATCTGCAGAATATCAAAACCTAATCCTCTTCTGTGAACATCTCTTTTATATAAAATTTAATCCATCTTGAAGTATGATTTAAATTTCATTACTCAATATTTAATTCGTTTGTTTGACTACAATTACAAAATAGATATTTATTGATTCTATTAAAAAGCAATATTTACTTAAGATAGACTTCTTGATAATATTTTATTTATTTATCTGAATGCATAACTATGAAATTAACAAACAATATCTAAATGCAAGTTAATATTTATTCTACTAGATATTTATAGTATTTCTATAATATCTTAATAATCATTTAAAATTAATTATTTTTCTTTTTCTGCTTAATCTCGTTGTTAGAATTTTTCTTTTATGTAAAATTTTGTTCGAGAATGAGCATGACAACAAAAATAACAACAACAAAAAGAAAAAAAGGTCACAATCATACAAAACAACAACAATGAGATAAACCAGGTTGAGGCAAGAGATAACCATGTATACAGGTAAAGAAGGTTGACAATAAATGAATATACATATAGAATAATGGCTAAATTTTTTATGATAAGTAAAACTTAAACCAATATTGATATAAACTAATAAACAATAATGAAAAGTGGAATATTCTTGTGTTGATTAATTTTCATGAATAAAAGTTCTTTTGACGATTTTCTTTTGGATTTAAGGTAATGGAGTAAAATTAAAACCTTTATCACCAGTACTACTACTTGGAACATTTATTGGAGGACCTTCAGGTACTGGTTGTCCACGATTATTAACACCTACACCTGCTCGTTGAAGCATTTCTTCTAATGGTGCTCTATAAAGAAAAACAAGAAGATAAATATACATTTTTTTTAAATCAAAATTACTTTTTGCCAACAGCCAACATAAATTGTATAGCTCCATTAACAAGTAAGCAAATGAAACCAAGTACAATACTTAATGACTGACATAACATAAGAGGTATAAGAGGTGGTCTAAATAAAATTAAAGAAAAAAAAAACAAACATAAAAAAATATTATTTTTTTAGTTTTTTTCTTTCTTTATTCAACATACATTGAATAGAGTGCAGCCTTTTGCCATGGTGGACGTTGTTGAGAAAATTGTGCCGCCGGTTGTGTATATCGTACAAATTGACAACAAATTGGTACTTCAAACATAATTAATGCAAAACCAAGAAATCTAATTGATAAATAGAAAAATCAAATCTTATCCTATTAATAAATATATATATATATATAATATGAACGAACATCATTATAACACCAGCAAGAATACAGAATGGTGATATACTCAATGCTCCGAACAGCCCACATATCATTGCAACTAATAGGAGAGATAAAAAAAAAAAGGGAAAATATAATGAAAAATAATGTTGTTTTTTTTTTTTTAAATTTACGAATTCCAGTCACAACAGCAACAACTCGAATAAACCAACGAAACCAAAATGTTGTTCCTTCAAGTTGTGGCTGTTCATTATCAATATTAACAGCTGATTGAAATGCATTCATAGCTCGTCCAGCATAATTTGCACCTTGTGAAGCTTGATTTGGAGTAAAATTAAAACTCATTGTTCATTCAAATTCAATAATGTAAATAGAAAACTAAATGAAATAAATTTTTGTTAAAAATTCATCAAATTTATCCATAAATTTACTTACTAAAATCGATGATAAATAAAATCTTTGCTTCCTTTTTGACAATAAGATGTTCCGATATATATTTTGTTTTTGTAATGCAAGACAGAGCAGGAAGTAAACAATAATGTTTTGGTATTAACGAGACAGATAGAGTGCGCCACATTATAAGGATCATCTACATGATATGTAATGCTTTTAGTTTTGTAACAATTCTTAAGACATTAATCAGCCTTCATATGAATTATAAATAGTCGAGCAATGCATATCAATCATACAAATCAATATGAAGAAAATTTCAATAGAATAAATTATGGACTAGTGCACAATGAGCAATTTGTATTGAGCATATGAATATGACTTATTTTCTGTCGAAGAACACATTTTTTATGAAATTCGTAAAATATACTCTTGTTCATGATGTAGTAAAAAACTTTTATTATGAGATTACAGTTCTATTTTGTTCTTGATACTATTTCGTAATATAAAATATTGTTTTGAATATAATTTCTGAGTTCTGCCAAAACTGAAGACTAGTCCATTAAATATGAAACCTACGTTGAAACAGTATGTGCTCGAGATTGAAATTTAGTGTAAACATAGAGCTACGGTAGAAAAAAAAAACATCAGTCTAATAAAGACTTTTTCGTTTTTAATAGAATTATTTCACTCTGAAGTTAATTATTGTTCTATCCTTCTGTATTGTATTGTCATTTGTCTCTCATTATGAAGCTAAAATTTATCAATAACTTAGTCATCGTTTTTGTAGTTATTGAAATTATAGATTATAATTGATCATAACGGAAACGAATTTAAATAATGTAATAAAATTTGTTTAACAATAATTGAAAATGATTTATATGGATATTTAAGCTATGAACGTCAACAGATATAACCTGAAAATTTCAGCTACTAATGTTGTTTCACTATTGAATTTTTACAAAAAATCGAAATCTAGAAAAAAGGATTTTTATTACAGAATAGATTTCATATTCAATGAATTTCTTCTATTTTTTTTTATACACGATTCTATTTATTGCAAAAGAATTTGATTCAAAATCAAAAACTTATCAATATAGAAATTACATTTTATCAGAAGATTTGTTGGACCACTCTGTATAATGATATTAAATTTGAAAATTAATCATCAAAAATAGCTAATCTACAAGAATTTAAAGCACCACCAGAATTGGAGAAGTAAAGAAAAACATGCAAGCTATTTTATTGACTATTTGTCTAACTAAAGTACAATATTTGTTTTTGGAATCGAATTTAGAAATATTGAGTTGCTTTGGTACTGCATTCATTTATCTTCATATTAGTCGATCTTGTCCGTTGATTTTTACTTTCATTTAATGATGAGGATTTCGTGAATGAACATATTGCTGTTTACCTAGTCTCTCAGTCAGTTAACGCATATTTCTTAACATTTTTTCATTGTATTATATTTAAGAACTTCAAATGAATTACATTTGTTTGATTTCTTATAATTAATTCTACATGCTAAGATATGAAATTTTGCAAACAAAAAAAACAGAGAGAGAGAGAGAGAGAGAAAGGAATGAAACAAACTATAAAATACAACAAAAAGACTACCTATTTACTACTTTTTTAGCTTTCAGTATTGAAGTTTACTATTTATCGTTAATAATAACTTTTTCCACTATCTGTATTTTTTATGCAGAAAAAATAACAAATAAATACATTTGTTGCACTGACCAAAAATAACACAAATACTAATGCACTTCCATCAGCATGCATAATTATATATATACAACTCATTATATCTCCTAATGACATAAAATCTAGAATTAATCATTAACATCTGGCAATGAATATAAATTATCAGCAAGACTAAAAATCGAAATTTTACAGAAGAGAGCATATTGAATTAGTATGTTTCTATCAAAAATTTTAACTGACTTTCTACATAAAATATAACGATTTTGCGATTAGAAAAAACATCATCCGAAAGCTGGTCAATTGATATTCTATTGATCTATCATGTTGATTTAATATACACATTTGATTGCATTGACTTCACTACTGAAAACAATATATCTTTGGAAGCCTTAATATATTAAAAAATTGTTCTTGAAACAAATTCGTTTCTTTTATTTGAGTTCTATCACAAATCAATTATCTCTTATGAATAGCACATAGTCGATTTCATATGATTAAATGTATATGTCAATAGATGATTTTCTATTAATAACAACAACAATGACAATGAAGGAAGACATATAATATAAAAGATCGAGACTGTTACATTGAATTACATCGAGGAAAATTTTTCAGTCAAACAGTGACTAGTAAAAAAAATACTTCACATTCGCTGATTATGTTTTATTTTACTCTGCATCCTTTCAGGTATTCTTTGCTTAGTAAGAGTGTGTAGCAGAGATGTATCATGCCCAAAAACTAACTCCGTTGCACGGCAACATGTAATTAAAAATGTTGCTACTGTCGCGATAGTAGTGTTAAAACATTTCTTGCGTAACAATGATTGTTTAAAAAGCCTGTAGTTTAGCGTAAGTGCTACGATAGATATCGGTGATATATAGGCATTACGAGCAATTCTTTAAATGTCCCCTTGATTGTCTTTTTCTTACTAGATAGTCAGATATGTTAATATCAAATGTTTACTTATTGTTTACACTATGTGAATTTTTTTTTACCTATTTTGAAAGAAAAATAATAATAAATGCCACACAGGATTTAGTTTTCAAGTGTTGTGGTTAAAAACGTTGATTTATTAAATTAATGAGAAGATTGTACTCTATGTATTATTTTTGATGACAAGAAAAACTTTTTTTTATATAAATCTGGATATATATTTCACTTTCATATGATCGAAAAAAAGAAGAAATTTTATAAGAAGTTTTATTACAAATAACAGAAGTTAATCTATTTTTTGACTAAGACAATACATGATAGATAAAAGCAGGCTATCCGATTAGGGGGAGGGGGGTGTGTGCTATCCCCTCCCAAAATTGTGTGTCTGTCTGCCAATATTTTACGGTTGCTGGAAGAAATGACTGATTGTATGGGAGCCCGAGGGGGAGTACGGTACGACCTAGTGAAAACTGATGTCATTTCTTCCCTCTTCCTTCCCGGTCAACAGTTTTCATGCCAGAAAAATGAGAACATTGTCTGCCAAAATTTTAGCCCCCCCCCCCCCCCCCCCCTAAAAACAATCGACAACCCTGGATAAAAGTATTATTCATACATTGAGATTTATTAAAACCTTGTTATTTTCTGATATGTTTTTACAAATATGAACGATTACTATTTAATTAAAAACAGCTAATGGTTAAATCTGATCATATCTATTACATAATGCTTTCTTCACAATTGTGTAGTCTACTGAATTTATGCATATTCAACTCTGCTAACTGATTACATGCATCACAATTTACAGAGAAGTCAATTTTTTTCTTCATCTAAAGACGAAATTGTTTTCTATTTCAGAAAAAAAAATTATACACATGCATCACATACATTTTCTGTATATGAGTTAGAATTTTCAAATTTCCTTGTTTGAATTGTTTAATGTTATGATCTCGTAAGCGAGTTCAATTGTTTACTATAGGATACGAATATGTTCGTTTTCACCTTCGTCATATAGTTAATAAATAAATAATCATTAAGATTTAAAAGAAGTAATATTCAATTATTGTTAAGATTATCATTTGAATAAACAAATAATAATATATGCAAAAACAATTGTCTTTCAGAGTTTTATTTAAGGTGCGGGAAATTCAAAATTTTAACATAAATTTTTTTTTTCAATGTTTTATATATGGTTGGATAGAGCTCGTCAAACTGTATAAGAAAAAGTATTTTAAAAAATTTTTTCTTGCTTTATATAAAAAAAAAATCAAAATACTTTGATGATATCAGTCCATGTAAAAATCGACTACTTTTGAGAAATGATATTTAAATTTCTCTTTTTCTTATTCTAATAATTCTAAGAATATTATTTTCTTTAT